AACATTACATTGAATGGAGTTGAACCATCTCCACCACCCTCAGCAGTTGCACGAGTATTTTCTCCGCCAACGGCTGCACCCTCCTCAATTTGTTGACCATCTCCTACAACACCATTTTGATTTAGAATAGGGATATTGGTTAAGTCTTCCTCGTCCTTAAATGATGGACATGGAAAGGCACCTTTCTATCTACGATTTTGGTGCAATCTCATTTGACCAAAAAGTAACAATCAAAATAATATGAAATATGTCATTACTAAAACGCCACGTACATAGTAGGTACTAACGACTGGTGTGTGTGTGTGTGTACAAAAATATTTTGTTTTAGCAAAAAGATGGAATAATTGATGGCTAATAAAATCCTTACTCCTAATTCATTGATCAAATAGAAACACATAGGCTACCTAATGCAACATAAGAGTTTTTGGTGCAAAATAAACGAAGAGTCCAATTACGTAACTTTATCTTGAACGCACGGAGATGAACCATCTACATCCTGTCAACCACCCTCAGTAGTTGCAGGAGCATTTCCTCTGCCACCAGTAGAAACATTTTCAATTTATTGACCACGGTCTAAATCGACATTTTGATTCAAATTAAGGACGTCGACGAAGTCTTCCCCATTCCTAAATGATGGAGACGGAAAGGCAGCTCTCAATCTATGACTTGGGTACAATTGCAAATTACCAGAAAGTAACAATCAACAACTATTAAAAACGTCGTTAATAAAACGCCATGTAAATCGCATGTGTCAATGACTAGTCTGTGTTATACACTAAAACCTCAAGTGCTTCGCACTTGCGAATGACTCGTTTATGTGTGTGTGTATATATACATACAATTTTTTTGTGTTATAACAAAAGGATAGAATAATTGACGGTTGATAAAATCATTGCCGCTAATTCATTGATCAAACAACAACCAATACACTACAGAACAAAATAGATGAGTTTTTGGTGCAAAATGAATTGAAAATATTGACAACACAACATTTTAAAGTTCGTATTCCTCGTTAATGTTTCAGAGAGGTGAAAAGTTCAAGTCCATAACGTTACATTGAATGGAGTTGAAACATCTCCACCACCCTCCGCAGTTGCACGAGTATTTCCTCCGCCAATGGTTGTACCCTCCTCAATTTATTGACCATCTCATGCAGCAGCATTTTGATTTAGAATAGGGATATTGGAGAAGTCTTCTTCGTCCTTAAATGATGGAGATGGAA